TCTTTCATTCGGGTGGCCCATTTTCCAAGGGAGGAAATGCTTCTTGTATACGCAGACCTTGGGCGCTGGGGTATCCGTCCCAACAGGACGCACACGGGCGCTGTCGGGTCTGTCTGTCGTTAAGTCAGCAGTGTGGTGTGCAATATATTCAGTGTTCGGACATACAGGTAGATGATCAATAAAAGTTGTTAACAGAGAATTATTTTCTTCTGAATGACAGCCAGAAGTGTGGAAAGCAAAGCGGTGCTTGTTCTCCTACCCACCCTTACCTGAAAAATAGACCTCATGGGTCAGATAGGTAGGGAATAATGCATGCTGTCAGGCCAGTTAAAGACTAAATTCTGCTTTGATGCAAGTATAAATGAGTGCAAATTTGTGACAGTCAGTGCATTTGCACCCAGGGTACTTTCACAGCGATTGAAGCCACGATGTAATTCACTAACAGCAGATTTCTTTGGAAGCTTTTTGTGTCTAATCCCATCATGCTTAATGCCATGGACTGGAAGGGCCTTGTCTCGATCCCCGTGGGCTTAGGGTAGGGATCAGAAGGATGACCATTTTGCTGAGGGGAGGAGCTGGCCCAGCTGGCTGGGCACTGATCTGTCTCCTGTTCCGCTGGCGCCAAGAACGGAGTGTGCAGCTACGACCCCGCAGCAGGCGTGCAGCGCGATGAGCAACGCGTGCGTTGTGCTGGTTTTTATCTGAAGTGCCACTGCCCTGGAAAAAGAACTTTTTTGAGAAGCTTCTTTTGACTATTATGCTTCAACCACATGTAAGTGTTTTAAAGTGCTCAAACAGCTGTTAATTCTGATTTGCAGTTTTGATTTGCCTTGTCTTTGAACAATGCAGTCAGGCTGCTTAGGGTGACTTGCAGGACGAATGCTCCCCTCTCCAGAGGTGGGGAAGACAGAGACTGACTCTGTCCCTTGTCCTCCGTCTCCCTCGGTCCCCACAACTGGAGATGTGTGAGATTTCAGGGAATAAAGAGAACAAATGTTCTGTAAGTTAGAAGCGTGCTCCGTGTGTCCTTACTGTGCTGTTGACGTCCGGTCAGGACACGCTGTGGAGGCACGCCTGCCTTCTGCTGTCCTCCTCCAGCTGCGCTGTCAGCAGTCGACGGGGCAGCACCAGCGGAACGCTTCTGCAGTTACCTGACGTGGCACTTGCGCTGTGCCTCTTTCTTTCATCTTTCATGTTTCTTTTGCAGTTTCCGAGGCAAGGCTTACAACAGACACAGCAGCAACAACAGACGGCGGCGCTGGTCAGGCAGCTCCAGAAGCAGCTCTCTAGTAAGTGTGCGTGTGCATAGGTGTATGTAAACATACATGTATATTTGAATATGGAATTACCTTTCTGGAGGTGTTCTGCCTATTTAAATGCTGCCATATATACATGTGAGTAATTTACCTACGGACAGCTCGTTACCCATCCCGGTAGTGATGCAATACCAAAATTCTGGTGCTAGTGCACCCCACAGATTTCTGTTGGTCTCCCGAGAAGCCCGAGTCACGGGCTGGTGCCCCAGTCACAGTTTGCTGCCTGTTTTCTCCCTTCACTTCTACCGCAGGCAAAGTCCCTGAGGGTACTGGCGCCTCTTGGCGTGCGTTAGATAGGTATTTAAGGGAATGTATCGACCGTTTGCTGCTGCTGCATGAAACACAGGTGTTTTTCTGTATTTCTGTAGAGTGCAGTCATGAGGCACAAACACTTCCCTTTGCTTTATCAACCAGGTAACCAGCCACAACAAGGAGTGAACCAGTACGGGCATCCTTCACACTTCTGAATCGGAGACGGAAGGGAGACGTCGTGTTACGTTTGCACTGAGGAACAGAACATTCAAAATTCAATGCACTAGTTATTGCTAGAAAGACAAACTTTAGTTTTCTTCTCTTATTATTTCAATAATTATTTTTTGTGCTGCAGTTGATGTGAATATGTAACCAGGTGGGGTTTTTGGGTTTGGGGATTTTTTTGCGTTTTAACTAGATTTAAATGTATGGACTTGTGGGCCTATCTGAACGTTATTGCAGATTTTATGAATTTGGTGCTTATTAGGTCCTGTTACAACTAAAGAGGACAAAGAATGCTGGATTTATTTATTTGTGGGAAACACTTTTTTGGCTTTTTGTTTGTTGTTTGTTTGTTTGTTTGTTTGTTTTTTTAAGAACTGCACTGGACCAAACTGCTGAACTGAAAGGCACTTCCGATTATGGCATAAAAGTTAATTTGTTTATTAAAATGTTCACCTCTTTCTTTGTTGGTAGAACAAGCATCAATTCAAATTGTGTTTATTTGACTGTAATTTTCATATGCACTTTATAAAGTTCTTTGTTTAAAGTACCAATTTTCTCTTGCTCTCATTGTGGTAAGAAGGTGCTGAAGTGGGTTTATTGCTTGTATTAGAACTTCTTAAAGTTTATATTAAAAGCCACAATGTAACATTAATAAACCTACTAGAAGTAGCAGTGTTTCGTATGTGGTCTCTTCAATTTAAAGTTCACCGGTGATCAGTTCGGAAGGAGTGCACGATGTAGTAACAAGGATCGAGCAGTCAAACCGGGTTTTCCTCCTCTCGCGCAGGGAAAGCTCCACGTCCCGGCAAAGCTGCGCCGGAGACGAATCTCCATGTCTCGCTTGATGCCTCCAGTAACAAAAATCTCGTGCCAGCTTTCATGAAGTGAGGGTGGAAAAGCCACCAAAGTCGCCCTAAATGAGTTATTCCTGCT